AGAATACTTTGCAAGGTGTGCTAATTAAGCATGAAAGCACAAACAGGCTCAGCTGCCGTGCCCGCAAGAACCAATACCAGCTCTCTGTGCACAGACGCTTATTTTCAGGGCTTGGAGAATCGCTCACAAGTTAGATTTTTTTACAAGATTAATAAAACAAGATAACAAGCATGTGAGAATAATCCACGGCGCTTGTATTTAATCCAATAAAGGCTAATTAAAAGCAGAGGTATTAAAAGAGGTCATGCCTCAGCTCGTCATGTGAAGGTGCTGCAGCTTGCCGTCAGTTCCAAGCCCACCCACTGTGCAGCTTCCTGAGAAAGTCCAGCCTTTGTTTTATGCGCAAATGTTGCTTTCCTGGACGTTTTCACAAAGTATGACCACACATGGGTTATTTTCGGGACAGAAATGGTTGCATGCTTTGTAAACATGATCCCTATCATGGTACAGCTGAAAGAATACTGCCATAAAACCTTCATTGGCGTGCTTCTGAGACAGATGTCTACATTAAGAGGGTGGATCTCTGTGCTGTCACAGTGTGCTTTTACTGAATGTGATGTAAGAATACATACGGTTTATTTTGCAGTTGTGTGCATATATTAAAAAAAAAAAAATCAAGTTAGGTTTTTAAGAGGTTTTTATGATTTCTCATGAACAGGATATCACTTCACTTCCTCTAAAAACTAAAAAGCTGCACGCACATGCTTCTCTGGAAAGACTGAAAACACACCTGAAAAACCCTAAACCATGCATGCCTCGAAGGAAAAAAAAAGCTGTTATTAATGAAGTGTACACTGCTGCAGTATAAAGCCTGAGTAGTTACTGTGTTGTGAATATGAGCCAGTTAACTCTGAGCAGGTGATGCTAATTGAGTGGTACAGCCCATCTGGAGCTGATTAAATAAAATGTATCACTCAAATACAATTCCTGTAACAGGACAGGCACAATTGCATGGACACAGACCCGGTCTCTTGCATTTGCATGCTTATAATGAACAGATATTTTATGGTAATGGTTTGGGGAATACTTAATTTTGTTATGCCGGCAGGGCGCTGTGCTTGTGCAGTCAAATATGCTACTTCTGGTGACAGTGGGTTGATAATGTGCAGCCTTTTGCAATTAGTGTGGCTGCAGAATCTGTTTTAAACTTGAAAACGAGGCCTGCGTTTCAACAACGTCACCAACCGCTTTCCACGACTATTGAATGTCACTCTTCAACCACAGCTCAAACCGTTCTCTGTGAGGATGTTTTGAGGATAAGTTTAGGACATGATTCCTCAGAATCAGTCGCTTCCTATTAAGTTTTTCCCATTATTATTAAGCTCAAGCACCGAAGTATCCAGGAAGAGAAACATACTGATTCCTGTCACCGATTTAAAACTCGTTAACAGTCTTCTGTTAGGCCCGACATGGCAGCTTTATCTTCTTATCTGTGTGTGGGTTTGATGTATAAACACTGGACCCGCAGGATCAACATACAGCACAGCAAGTGCAGTAAAACAGCACTTGAGAGACGGAGATTAAACAAGCAACACTACCACGGGCACAGGCACTTGGAAGAGGATCTGAGGATCGCTCAGCTCCAAAGCCCATTCTCCCTTTCTCCCTTTTTTTCCCCGTCTTCTCTATATTTCCTAATAATTAGCGCTGCGCCACAGATGTGCATTTCTCCCTCTTCGCCCTGCTGCCTTTCCACCATATCAATGTGAATGTGGGATATTGGGGATTTAAAGAGAGCATCATATGCTTTCTATTTGATAAAGCCATTAAAATTGAGGACAAAGATGAAAGCTGAATGGTCCATATGAGGAAAAAAAAGCTGTGGAGAATTAAAGGCAAGCGTATTTAAGGACTGTAATCATATTTCAAGTAGTCTAATGAACCCAAACATATGGGGAATAAGAAAAGAAAAATGCAAGTGACTTTGGAAGCTTGAAAATCAACTCACTGGACTTCATAAAGCCTGAGGGAAACGGGATGAATGAGTCAACCAGCAATAAAATTTTCAAAGGCGACTGATAACTTTATTTAGTGAGATTATGGGAGAAGAATTCAAGTTCATCAAGGCCAGAATTGATTGGATATCCTCTTTCTCACCAATGAATCATTCCCCCCATAAACAAGTATCAGACATAAGCTTCCACCCATATTATTCAACTATGATGAGTGACTCTGAGATCATGTATGAACGAGACAGTGATTCAGTGCGCGCTTTCATCTTCGAAATACAGATGTAAGTTTTCAGCTAAAATATGACATTCTAATTCACTTTTATTTGAAATGTAACATCTAAAACAAACCTGAAACCAAATCCATCTTGAATTTAAACATCCTTCCTTTGAGTCACTAATTAAAGTGTCACCAGCGCATGTGACTGCACTGTTACTGAACACAGGAACTTGTCTGCTTTGATTCCGGCTTTAGCCATAAACATTTCCACGCTGCAGAAAAAACTGCCGCTGCGCATAGCTGAAATAAATGGCACTTCATCACACAGAGCTCGGCGCTGTTATTGATGAGATTTCTGGAAAAAAAGCATCCTGGATTCCTTCAAATAAGCAGCAGAGAGGGACCTATAACCTGCTGCAACACATAATCCCTCCATTTTACTCGAGCTACTTCCTGACCCTCGGTTCTCCCTCGTGAATGCTGTACCTGGCATATTTCTCCATCAGACATCCTGGATGTGGAGTTATGGATGTAGGCTAATAGGTCTTGTTTCTTTTTTTAGCACAGATCCTTTTGTTTGGATGAGAAATAAGTCATTTATCTGACTTTTCTAAGCCTCAACAGCCATAAAATGACTGCTTTCTTGCCACATCGATTGAGATTCTCAACTTGTACCGATAGTTTGAATTCAGCCGGAGTAGGGAGGAGGTCCCTGGTTTACTGGGGCCCATAAGGGACCACACAGCTGGTCTGCTATAATTGCTTGTGCAAAGGACCGTGGAGAGAAAAGACCAGTGCAGAAGGTAGAGAGAGTAACTCCAATTGGTTTGAGCCTCTCGGTAACCCTGCTGTGTGACTAGTCCATCCCAGGTGTGTCGGCCCAGTCTTGTGAAACATAAAATAGCATTTACATCAACACTTGGAGACTCGGACTTGGAAGGCTTTCTCTTGCTCTCTCTGTCATCTCATTCCCACTCCTGATGTCATTTCCCCTCTGATTTTCCTGCTTTTTCTCTTGTTCTCTCTATTTTTGTCACTTGTCCTGGTTGCTGTGTTTCAAATGGAGAGTTTGAACAGGATTTTGCCTCCACCTAGTGGTGCAACATATGTAAATGTGCAGCACATACACACACAAATACTGTATGTCATGACTGCGAGGGTCTCTGTTGTGAAGTGTCACTGTTAAAGCCCCATTATGCAACTTTTCTACCTTAAAATAACAGCTTCACAGTCATTTCGAATCAACTCTGTCAGTGATTTGGGTGAAACTGGATCATATTTTATGGAGAAAATGTTTTCGCCTTGGACTTGGTGCTCAGAGCACTGGGGGAGTGTTGGTGTTTATCAGGGGAAGGGGAAGGTTTTCAGGCCTCGGACGTGGGTGGGGTAGAGATGCTGACAGACCATGCCAGAACCAGAGTTGGGTGAACGGGCAGTGTAGCCGGGCTCAGCAGCTTCTATGGAAATTGACGGAGGAAGATAAGAAAAGGTGAGAGCTTTGTGAAATAAGAGGCTGCAGAAGGACGCCGAGCAAAAAAGCTTGCCGTCCATATTTAAGACAGTTGTATGGAACTGGGGACAATCACAATGAATGTTTATTGTTTGTTATTTTACTGCCCTTTATTATAGAGGTCATTATTTTACAATATTGATCAGATGTCTGTATTATAGGCAGAATGTGGTTGTGCATATAAAACATGCTGAGCCATGAACACCCCTTTAATAACACCATTTGTCTATATATCTACCACTGAAAATAGTTCCAATCAAATGCACCATTTTGTCCGTAACGTTGGCTCTCCAAGCTAATGAGCTTACTAACAGTCAATAGGCAAACTCATTAGCTTTTTAGCAAATGGGATAATAAATTCACAGTTAAATACTCCGACAAAAAGTGAATGGTCCAACTCAGCTAACAAGCAATAATTTCCTCTATTTTGGACTCTCAGGCTTTCTGTCCCCTCTGCACTGTGAAGACAGCGTGCTATTCAGCGGCACAAATTTGTGTGTCAGAGTTCAACTCTACACTGAACGTTCATGCAGATTGATTTCTCCTCGTTGAGTGGATCCTGTGATCGGAATGAACTGATTTTGGCTCCAAATGTTTGCCCGTTTAAATCCCGGTGTGTTCAAGCGTTAAAAATGTGAAGCTCCTGCCCACCTGTTCCTCATTCCCTGATTTAGCCACACCTGTCCCCTATTCCCTCAGTAAACCGCAGAATAAATATCAGCCACTTTCCACCTCCCCACTGTTTCCTGGAAAGCAGCTTGTTAGCTGTGGTAAGACCTCTGTGGACTGCCTTCAAGCAGGACAGTAGCAAGTAGAAACCTTTTCTTCTTACTGGTTTTTTCCAGTTCAGATTTTAAAAGTGAATGAATTAGATAAAATGGATAATTTATTCATTGGAATGATGAACAAGGTAGTTAGTTTGCCTCTGTCTTTACTCCTTTAAATAACATTCACCCCTTATTGGTTTGCTTTACCTTTAATGGGTGCAAACATGTCCAGCTGTTGTTGTCAGCTGACGAGAAGTCTTTCCAATGAAACTGATTGAGATCTTTGTGTATAAACAAGTACATATAAATACACTGGTTTAAAATATATTACCATTACCATCCCTAGCTAGTGTATTTCTACACTGAATATGACTCAAGTATAAATTTGAAGCAGAATATGAGATAAAGCACTGACCAGGAAAGGAGAGATAGATCACATATACAGTACATGTATGTAGTGTATAAACATTATACTAATATAACTGATAGTTGATCTCCAACTGTTGTTGAAGAAAACACACACAAGTACTTTAAAAATAATAAGCCACTCGTGATAAGATGTTAATACCTCAGCCATTTATTTCTTAAACATAAGAAAGAAGGGACTTCTCCAAGGTAAGAAAAATAACATTGCAATTTAAAATCAAGTGCACTTCAACAATGTCTCATTCTGTAAGGGAGCCGTCCCTTCCTACTGTGTGAAGTGAGATACACAAACTCAAAAACAATCTAAAGAATCGATCTTTACTGTAAGGCTTTGGGTGGGGTGCTGTGTCATTACTGATGCGTTCGTTGAGATGTCAGTGGCGGTGACAAATATATATGTGGATATACCCATAAACTGCCAATCCAACATCACAAACAGTGTCCTCTGCGACATCTGTACGTGAACAGAAATGCAACTGTGACGCGAGATAAGACGTCGACTAGTGTCACGGACTCCCAGGAGGAGTCAGGCAGTGGGCTCATTTGTGCTAAAACTCCTGCGTTAAGCCGTTCATCAGAATGGGAGGAGGAGGAGGAGGAGGAGGAGGAGAAGATGACAGCTCTGGTGTCGGCGCCTCACCTGGGCCGAACAGTATTTGTAAGTAATTTCCGGTGTTTGTTTGAATGCTCTCAAGAGTACCAGATGGATGGAGTTTATTGCATCATAGACAGATAAGTTCAGCCAGATGAGTTTCCATGATGTAATATATGAACTGTCAGTCACAGAGGGTTTTAACATCTCAGGTTTTTGCCTACTTCAGCGCAGATGGCTGAGATACGCCACATGGGACTGCAAATTTTAACGAAAGCCAATTTAATGTACTTTTCTGTGATAAAAACACTACCTGGCTCTCTCTGAATGATTTAACAAGCCTCCTCTCCTCTCTGGTAACTCGTACGCTTTTCAACAAGCACTATGGATGAATTACAATCGCCGTCTGGTCCATGTCTGACTACCATTACGTCCAAAAACAACACGGATAATGACATACTGTATTTAGCTTAATGGTTGAGTCGGAGAAGTAGGTCACAATCTCACTTTCAAGAACTTTTTGAGTTTCCTACTTCACAAAAAAAATCCCCTTCTTTATTAGCAAAGCAAAAATATTCAACCTATAATCAACCAAGTCATTGTAATAGGACAAATATAAATCAAAAATAACTTAATATTACTTTGAGGAGAAAAGAAATCAGAAACAATGTTTCATCTGCAATTTTAACTCACTAGATCCAATATCAAACAATGTCCTATCTATATAGTAGGCCAGTTAAGACAATAAAATGCAGCAATTCACAATTGCCTTAGTGCGTGTTACATACTCAGGATATATAACAATATACATTAATGGCATTTCACATTTGACATTCTCGATAATACATAATGTACTGTACCTGGAGAATAACCCACAAAATGATGCTGGTACCTTGTTAAACCAAACAAAAGGAAAAATACTTAATCTTGACATTACAGGGTTTCACATTTAAGTAAAAGAAACTGGCTTTGTGATTGGATTGTAACTATTTATGATTTTAGTTATAAACACCATAAATTATTAGCATTTAAAAAAAAAAGAACTTGATTTGAACTCGACTTGTTGAACAGCAGGTGGCAGTGTTTATCTGTTACTCAATGCAAAAGGGCGCAAAGCCAGCAGTGTAGCCATCATAGAAGCTTTCTTTTTATCCATACTTTGTTGTACAGTTTTGTCATGTAAATAACGGCTACAAAATGTTACAGAAAACTTCTACTGTGGCTAGTTCGGCTACCACAGAGTGATTATCAGACCCTATTCTTGGGAGCCAAATCTGTCAATGATTGAATCAGTAAGCAGGTTGGTGTAGGCAGTTGATGCTATAAAGTACATACCCTCATCCTGGACCGAGTTGAACAATTTTACCCCAATAATTCCCAAATTTTAAAGACATACTGAATGTAAAACTCAAGAAATACCGAACTGCGTGCAGTAAGTTGTTGCTTTTTGTGTATTCAGAAGGAGGGCAGTATTGTAGAGCAGATGTGAATATTCGTATGAGTGAAACCCCAGGCCGTTTGCATAATAAAAAAGCCAATCATTAACATTTAAAAATGACTTTTGTACAATACAGTAGGTCACTTGGCACAGACAAACCTGGTGTATCATATTACATTTGGGCACAGAGGTAAGTGGTTCTCTCTGCCTGTAGACTAACGTATACTCTGTTATATAATCAATTCAATAGGGCAAACGTTGTTGTGTGGTTTGGGGTTCATGATGAGGAGGTGGAGGGAAATCCAGTGTGAAACATGCGCTAAATGATCCTTGAAAATTGTTTCAAACTTAAGCTACTGCACCAGATTCATCTTGCGGCACGCTTCAGGAATCCCAACAGAAAGCAGCGCTCGCAAGATGTGTGAAATCAGGTTACAGATCTGAAGCATTTTCAAGCGTATGAGATGACCGGATGACAGGAACAAACCCGCGTGTGAACCAACACTGAGACCATCACTGGGAGCCGGAATCGTAGCAACCTTGTGACGTCCCCCGTGAGAGACTTCACAACTGCTCTTATGTTCTCACTCGGCAAAGTTTGAGACGGTTTGCCCTCGTTTCTAACTCCCTGTGATAATATTCCCTTCTCTGACTCATCCTCCTGGCCAAGAGTAAGTCAGAGGCTACAGCAGCACTTGACATTTCAATGCATGTTTTGAGATTTTGTTTAAAAGATCGGATCTTATGAGATCAGATCGCTGTATAAACACATGGCCTGTGTTTATTTAAACGGGAGTCTGCAGTACTTTACCTTCTGACCCTCTAAATCTAAACACTAGTTATAAACACATCCGACTGGATTGCTTCCTAGCTATACTGTAAAACTGAATTCATAGTACAATATAGGGAAGAATCTAATTTATTAATTATTTTCATTTTTTTTTTTTTTTCATTGATTGATCTGACAACTATTTTGGTGTATAAAACCTCAGAAAAGTATAAATTAACATAATTTCCCCGAGCTGTTCGACTAACATTCAATTTAAGGCAGTAAATCTGCACATAAGAGAACCATTAAATGTTCTACTAATTATTTTAAAGGTTTAATCGATCATCAAAATAGCTGCAGATTAATCCTCTGTCGATCGAAACCAGATTCATCGACTAATTGTTCCAGCTCTGCTCTACACCTCCATGTCTGGTTTAAAACATCATATAGTAAAGTGAACAAGATCGATTTGTCATTGCGTTGTAAAAATTCAGAGACGACTGACACAATACAAAAAACTACCAGTGGTTTGGTTGTCGAATGAAAAACAACTTGACTTGATGTCCACGCCCTTGTGAACCGTCTCTTCTCAGCGCTCAGTTCACATCACTGTTAGCAAACCCCAAATTTTGAACTACATTTTCCACTTTTCGTGGAAACCACTGGTCCGCAGGTGTCACTGATTGTTACATTGGAAACACAAGTCTTTTTAGGCTTAAAATAAGTCAGTCTTTATTATTGTCTAACTCACACTACCATTATATAAAATCCAAATAAAGCCTGGCCTACAGAACCCAAAAGGTCAAACAATGACTGAACAGCCCCCCCTAGTGGCGGGTCTGCAGCTTGCTAAATGTGAATGTTTGTAAGTGAGTTCCATGGAGTGTTTTGCAGCTAAAACATTGCATTGATATTCAAAGTGTAGCTGGAGAATCAATTAATTCTCATCCAAAGAAAACTTCCAGATCCTGATCTTAAAGAAAAACCTCCAACTCCTGTCGAGAAAGAGCGAACCGTAAATGCTTTGAGGCACCAGATGAACTGGTGATGGGATGAGTTTGACACGATGACATGAACGCTGTAAGGTCATATGCAGGATAATCCATATCCATCTCAGGCTGCCACCTGCATCTTGCTGTATACTATGAATAAATTAGCATTACCATGGAAACTTAAAACTGTACAAAACACTCACAAAAACACGATGATTACATGCCTCAGTATTCCAGCTAAGCTTGGAAAAACCCCTGCTAATATAAGCAACTTTAGCACAATTGTGATACGAAATATCACAATTACACACACAACACTTTACATGTACATTATACTTGAATATTAATGCACATGTAGTTAACTGTGGAACAGAAAGAATGAAGGAGCATATACAAATATAACATGATATATAAGGACTTAAGACATACTGACGATACCTACACGTTATAGACACATTGCTCATACATTCATATATGTCAACACTTAAATATGTATATACAGTATACATGTATATATTCATATGTATACAGATATATCAAAGGAGGAATAAATAGTGCCATTAATGAGGTGAGACAACCCAGTTTCCATTTTCCTCTCTAGTGAGACGACTATCCCCCTGGATTCATGCTAACATGCCCCCGGCCGTTTGTTCAGGAGGAATATGCAATCTGATGTGTGGGACATAGTGGCTGAACTACTGGCACAAACTGAAGCGATGCTGGTAGTCATCCAGCTCAACAGTTCTGACTTTCCATCTCAAACCGCCTACATTCCCTCGTTCTCACACTTTTTATGGGAATTTGTCTCAAAAAAAAAAAAAAAAACTCTTTAAAGGAGTGACCTGGTGCAGGTTTTAAAAACACTCCATCACTGTCTTTCCTGGCACTAGTTCTAGTTTACAGCATTATGCCCAGTAATAAATAGTGTCTTCCAAAATGTATTGTTGGACTACTGTTGTCTATATGTAACAACTACAGCCTGAATAGTCATATTTAGATGTGATTACATTCTATATATCTGATGGGGTATTGACATATATTGCAATGCTTTAGTACATACAACCAAAAAAGGCTTTGTGATTTGACCCTGTGTGTGCATAAAGTCAGGCATAATAAGTTACTGTATGACACACACACTTAGGAGTGAGACAAGTGACATGTTGTGTATGGACCTCTGACAAACTGTGTTGATGAAAACAGTGGAACTGGATACTGGCCGAATGGCTGTGTCAGGGAATTGGCAGTGGACAACTCTCTGGCGTGATGACTGGAACTTTCTGTTGAAAGTGGGTGGCATCGTTCCCCCGGTGATGCATTTGACAGTTAAAACTGAAAGGCCTCTAGTTTGAAGGTGGTAAAACTGGCAAAATCAGAGTTTAACACCCCTATGCTACTGCAGATTTTAGTGTGTTAAAGCCGGAGTGCGTCCATGTTAATGAACATCTGTTATATTCAAGCCCTTGCCCAACAAGTTCACACAATGCTGCTTAAGTCGATCACCGGCAGGTAAATCTCTCTGTTTCGCATTATAGAGTTTTTAAAAATGGAGTCTGTGGCAACTTTCCCGCGCTGGAGCACCAGTATTAATACTTTTTTACATAAATCATCTACTCACGAGTGGAAGAGGCCCAGTCCTCCAGCTAGCTGAAGTTTTAAAAAACTGACAACAAATCTATTTCCTCTTTATTTGAAGAACCTCGAGGTACGTTCAGACTAAACCGGCTAAATTTAAAACATCTTTGTCTTTTCATTTTAGCCTTCTGTCCACACTAATCTGGAGTTGCTGTTTTCGAAAACGGTCTACAGAGTGGATGAATCTGGAAACCGGCATTTTAGGTAAACTGAGCTTTTGACGTATGCCTGCCCTGAGAGTTGGGCACAATGCCAATTGATCTACAATTAAAAGTAAGAATAATAACTTTCTGTTGTCTTTGTTCTCCCTCGATCATTTACGCTCATTCAGTTGTACAAATATGTAAAAACCCTAATCCGTTTTCAAAATTAGCTGGCTTAGTGTGGACGTCTTCTAAGTTGACGGCAAATTAAAGTGCAACAAAAACCAGGTGATTCAATTAATCTATTCCATATGAGAAAAATAGCAAAACCCTTGATAAAATAGTCACTAAATGATCAAAAGTAAATCCATAAAAAAAATTTATAACTACTGTACAATAGTTAGTGACAGAGAAATAATGATATAATATTATAGTGAGTGCATAAAGATTAAAGATTTTTTTTCGACACTAACATCAGCGTCTACACAGGAGGAGCAGCAGCTTCAGCGCTCCGTCAGGGCTCACACAGGATGCGTTCAGGCACACTGTTGTGAGAGTGTAGGTCACCTGCGCTTTGGAAGCCCAACACATGATCACTGTAGTTACACAGAAAATAGATCTGAGGTGTAAAAATACCCTCGCATATAGCACGAGTGAAACCCAAGCCGTTACGCTGCTGCTGTTGACAGCCGCATTGATTCAAATCGATTAACACAGTTGGAACACCTCCTGTGTAGATACTCTGTGTTCATCTTTATAGGAATTATGCAAGGATTAAAACTACAAAACTATTCAAAACAACCAGCTAAGGTCTGTAAAAATGTTGCCCTTAGTAAAAGTGTTTCCTGCGAGAATAATACTTCTTTAACACACAAACTGAACCAGCAGATTGTGCTCAGACTGTATTTATCAAGTGTAAACCTCCATCTACCCAGATAATGGGAGGCGGCTGCAGCTCACTGCTGGTGAGCAACTCATCTCCAGCTGCCTTTATATAAAACTGTAATAACTTCAAATGAATGACATTCAATATTTCTAATGCAGGAGGAAATTGAAAAAGCATAAATTTAAGGGCGTAGAAGTGACCTTTTGTTCTTTTTGAAAGGAAATTCCATCCAGTGTTCCCCTCTACCGTACCTACTTACATAAACGGGATTTGTCTTTCTGTGTAGCCTGATTGAGCTCAATGACAAACTAGAGTAACGGCATATTTAGCTCTAATGTACATTCGTGATATCAGCACTTAAATATGGCCGCTACATGAACAACCCACGCAGCTCATTATTTTTAATTAGCTCTACCTTTGCTGCCGTCGGTGCCAGCTTTAAGGATGCCGCAGCTCTGTCAACAACCGACAAATCTAACGCTACCGCCGTCAAACTAGAGGCCAGAGAGTCAAGGATGCCGACTGAAATGCTACATAGAGCTACAGCTTGCATTAGAGTGTGGATAATTTGAGTTTGTGCATTAAATACAGGTAGAAGAGAATTCAGGATTTTAAGGACTGAGAGGGCAAACAAAACTCTTGAGGGGCTTTTTTCAGTTTTCATGGAATGTTTGGGATTCACATATCACTTTCTGTGTAACATAACGGACATATTTTGTCTGCAGGTTGCATCATGTGTGGCCACCGACTTTAAATATTTGGAATTTATAGAGTACTCCTGCTGGCGGAGACATCACTGACATTCCCGGCAGTGGAAAACTATGGAATGATTGTGCTATAATCTTGTACAACTATTTAAGGAAAATCTTAAAAATCAGGGCGAAGTTTTCACCGTCTCAACTTGTGGGAATTGAAGGAATGCTTTACGTAGCTCAGCTCAAAAAAACGCTAGAAATTTGGAGCTTTCAGGTACTAGCAGCGATACGTCTGCACATCTGGGTAGTGTAGATTTTAAAAAAAGGAGGTTGAGGGGTTTGTTTTAGTATTTGAGATCACACTCTTTGTAGGAGCAGTTAGAGGACTGACAAGATGTCCCCTTCCAGAGCAGCAGTGACAGACGTGAACTGGGGACTAGAAAACAAAACATGTACGTGTGTGAGACTGTGTGTGCGCATGAGGAATAATTATCTACACAGATAAATGTATGTATGTTTGTGTTTCAGAATACCCCTGGTGTGTCAGATGGGTGCTGGTTTGGTCAGGGTGGGGTCGGTCTCCGGGAGCAGCAGAAGCCCGTGAAAGGCATGATGGGAGGAGACGGAGGGCAGAGCGTCTCTCCTGCTTTCATTTGGTCTTTAGTTTGCCCACCTCCCCGTTCAGCTTGCCCTCCTTTGCCAGCTTCTCGTTAAGTTGGCACAGTTGGCGAAGGAAGCCGTCGTTAGGACCGATTTCTCTCTTATGCCTCACGGTGGCCACCGCCAGCCGGGCATCCATTTTATGGCGCAGCATGAGGTAAGCAGCAACCATGGTAGGGGAGCGGCTGTAGCCTTCTCTGCAGTGAACGTACACCTTCCCTGGAGGATGCAAACAGAGAAATGGAACAATAAGGTGAGTGCTGTATGTGGTGCAAGGCTGGTTTTACAGAAGCATAAAAAAAAAACCTATGCCCCAGAGAAATGCTGCGCCTTATCATAAGTCATTTTTAAGGATAAGGCTGGCACTATTGTACAGTATCTTTGTCTTAAAACAAACAATGTGTTAGTCAATCTGTTAACCCCTAACACTCTACCCTGTCTGTGGCTCTCAGCTCTAAGCCTATTGGTTCCTTCTGAAGACCATAATGTATAGAGATATGTAGCTCCAAGACTGTTGGCATCCACCATCACTCATGTTGTCCGATAACTGATTGTGCTTTTCGCAACTGAGATCCAAACATACATTTTCCTGAATACTGCTCTGCTAGCAACTACGACCTGCGAGCTAACAGTGTCATATGTTTGGCATGTTAGCTCATCCTAAATCCAGAAAAGAAAGGGGATTTGATATACAAATGTATGTTTTATTTTGCAGGATCTGAGAAATAAAGGCCCATAAATCATTTTTAAATGTCAAGCATAATGTGAAAAAACATACGGGACATTTGCTTTATGGTAGCCGTTTACTACTGCTGTGGCTGAAGAACAATAAATGGAGCAGGAGAAGAAAAATGGAGGTAAAGAAGAAAGAAGGAACAAATTAATAAAGAAAACAAACAAGGGTAACAGTGGTTGGGGAACACATGCTGTGACCAAACTTGCCTAGCGAAGCATCTTCTGTGCCAGGAGATGCAAATACAAGACCTGACCTCTGCTGCAAAGTCAATCATCTTCCCTGGAGCCGCATCCTACAGCGAACAAAGACTCTGTGCCGTCTGCATGTACAGAACACAGGAAGGTTTCCTGAACTGTATTTGTATTTGTTAAATGTGTAGCTATCTGCATATGCGTAAAAATCACAACTTGTGTGTGTTTGCCTTCTTAGTCTATCTGCCTTACACTTTCATTACTGACAAGCCAAAACCCCACGAGGAATGTAACTTGGCAACGTTCACGGAGCAGCTGATGTGCTGGGCTCAGGTCAGATCTGCAGATTCTGCACTTTATTTGAAACCCAACACCTCTCTGTGTCCCTCTCTCGGTATTATCCACAGCATCTCTCACCCCTCCTCTCCCCTCTGTTGTATAATCTCCGTCTATCCTCTCCTCCTCTATTCTCCACCCAGAACAGTCCGCTGCCAATGAAATGACCTCTTCAATATCCAGTCGCCCTGCCTGCCACAGATCAATGTTGATTCTGCTGTATCCTCTTGTTAGACATGCAGGATCCTCTGGCTTACCCCGTCACTCATCTGCTAGTAGTGCTGTCACGTCTTATTAAAAGTGTGAATTTCCATACAAACGTGGAAAAATACAAAATATTCAAACTGCAATGACCTGTTCAAAGTCAAGATTTACAGTCTATAGTAGTTTACCTTATGGTTTAGCAGAGGACAGTCTTAAATTTCACTCAATTTCAATATCCCCGATAGACCTACCAGTAACACTAGGACACCAGGGGGCAAAGCCGTACTGATATTCAGAAGGGCTGTTCTATTTATTGATTTTAGCTACATTACAGTTTGCTAGTTACAGGTATAATGTTAATGTGCAAGTGTGTCATGTATATGCTTTTGTATGATAGAATAAAATGCATGACAATGTTTGATATCGGGCGGACGACTCTTCTAATGCACTGCTTAATGTTAACGAACATTAGTTTCCCAGACAGACAAGACAGACTGCTTCATAGCCCTAAATCCTGCAGCTTTTAAATGAGGTGCTCAAAACAATGTTATGATGTGTTTAAAAGGTTTAAAGGAGTTTTTCAACTTCTGTCTGCCAGCTGTCATTTACACTCAACAACTACCGAGTTAACTGCTGTCTGTCTGTCTGGTGAACTGAGGCACTAATAACTGGTGGTGTTTTGATCACAAGAGAAAAGAAATATCAATAAGGTGACTTTTACATAGTATTCTATAAGACAACAGGACTTTAGAACCATAAAAAAGAAAATTGAAACCAAGATCTTCAGCATCTTTAGAAAAAATCTTTAGGTGAAATTACCTTTATAGTATCCGGAGTTATATAGCTTATGTTTTGCTGTTTACCAGACCTACAGATTTAATGTTAATTAGCTACAGAGTAAATTTGACAGCGACAGTTGACATTGTAGCTACTGAAATTAATCCTACAGGCTCTGAATACACTGTTAAACTATGTTATAATTAAAATTGCAGGGGCGCCCCCGTAGCCCACCTAGTAGAGCCTGAGCCCCACTAAGGCTGCGTCCTCCTTACCACTGTGACCTGGGTTCGATTCCAGCCTACGGCCATTTTGCTGCATGTTGTCCCCCCCTTCTCTCTCTGTCTGTCTCAAAAGCCCAAAAGAATAATCTATAAATAAAATTGCAGCTCTAGCTATTTGAAAATCAAGACGTTCAAAAGAGCTCTACAGAGCTGAGGAAAACTGCAGAGTCAGGTGATAACTCTCTTCAGGTTCATCACTAAGACCAACACCTTACACCTTAGTCGTTGATCCATATAAAAAAATATTGATTATTGCAGCTTGAACATGCTGCTAATTTTGTGGGTAGTTTATAATATTCAGATAACTTACAGTACCACGGTGTCGTCATTACGTCATTACAGACACATGGGAACGATGCATCGATGCAGTTGCTCATTAAAATCCAGGACCTATGACCTTTTCAGAGCTCGCAGCTAGCGGTCACAAAATGTCAAAGACAATGTTGCACATAACACAATGTCAGACTACAGCGATAGCAGGCAGCGGGCAGAGGTGAAACACTTTATCCTATTTCTGCTCCTTTTATCACTCATCCTCCCTCATCCTCCTCCGCCCCTCCTCTCCCCTCCTCCCCTCCACAGTCCTTGTTACAGTAGCTCTTCACTCCTGATTTACCACGTCGTTGGTGCTCCTTTGCCAAACTGCCCGGGAATTAAGATGCTTTTCTGTGTCAAGGCTGACAATAAATCCATGCCATGAAATCCAGGGTTCAGCACACTAATTAAACACATCCCTCATGTGACAAATTAACTAAATTTAGTTGCCACTTTGGGAGAGCTGGGGAAAGATCTTTTTTTGGTGGGGGTGGGGGAGAGCCGAGGCCTTCTGGGATTGATTGTTTTGATTGATTGCTTCAATCTAAATATTCTGCTTTTCCAACATGTTACAATACAGTACACTTGACCAAATAGGTATATAAAATGGCTCATTTAAGACTTCCTATTAGTTTCATACATCTTCATTCTGTTACCCAGTACAAATGTGTCATATTATCTGTTTAACAAATGGTTGGTGCTACAGGTGTGTTATGCACGGAACATTTTGACAATGTTGACATCCAGGGACATGATCTGATAATGGAATATGGAGCAGGGCTCAGGAGTGTGTTAGATTTAGCCTCGAGATGATCAGGGCCGTCACGATTATCTCCTGTCTTCACTTTAAGATCCACAGCAATGAAGACTGTTGAGATCGAGTCATTAAAAAAGATGCCTTGAATCTTGTATCCTTTGTTAGACAGGCAACATAAGGAGCGTGGTTTTGTGTCTCAACTTGTAGAGACAAATTGCTTTCAAGTGGGAACTACACGAGTGAGAAAGACACTGTGTTCGTCTTTGATGTCTACCTTAGAAGGGGTTTCGTTGGGACATGAACTCTCAATATCCGATAATCATATAATATAATCATTTTCACACTGATAGTACTAAAACACCATCATTAATCTACTTTCCAGCAGTGGACTTTACCAGTCATACTGTAAGAGCGATGCTGATGAAGATGCACGAAAATGCTGCTTTATTAGAACATTTCCGGCTTTGCATTTTAAAAACCTCTTGTCCAAGAGTCTGCAATCACACATAGAGACAATCTTACATTACTTCAACTGTGCTGGAGAAACAGTGTGAAGTGGGGGCAGAAGAAACAAGCTGGGAGCACAACATTTGTTAGTGAACAGTTACATATCCACCAATTATTAGCAAGATTATTATTCATTTACATTGGTGTCTGTGGCAGTGCAATATTCTTTCTCCTTTAACAGTGCTCCCATGGGTCCTGGAAAATCTGGAAAACCTGGACATTTAGAGACTAGTTTTCCAGTCATGGAAAAACCTGGAAATTGATTAGTAAGACCAAATATACTGGAGAGAAATTCCATGTTGTCGTTAAAATGTTTTTCTTGTGTTTAAGCAGGTGCTGTGATGCTTTTAGCTCTATTTTTCATTTCCACTAACTCTTGAGAAAAATATCTGGCTTTTTATTAATGTAGTTGAAAGAAGTCAGGGGACCTGTAGTGAACTGGTTAGGAAGATAAGATCATCTTAAAATCACTCCAAATGCTCCACTATGTCCTATGACTGGAAAACTAATCTCTAAACTTTTTCCAGGACACGTGGGGACCCTGTCCGTAGAGTAACATAAACTCACCTTTGCCATTGTTGTGTGCTAGGGCCTTGTCGATAAAGTCAGCCCCCTCCTCAAAGAAGGCACTGAGGTTGAACTGCTCGGTGTCATTGGCCTGGATACCGTGGTACGTGATCCCTGTGCCAGCGTAAAACTCCACACTGGTGTTGACGTGCATGAAGGAGGTGCCCTCCGCCACGTTGAGGACGTGCGTCACTCCGAGTTTCTGCAGACGCATTGTATTCTGAGCTACGAACCTGGGTGGGGAGATTAAGGATCAGAGTGGAAAAACACATTGATTTAAATCACTTTAGCAAGTTGCTGATGTCTGTGACAAGTCTGCTGCACTGAAACAAAGTTTGTACACTAGTAAGAGTGCCACTGCTGACTTTATTTGTTCTCTTGCAACACAAAATGATGAGTATACAGCAGCAGAACAAGACATCTAAGACAAATCACAGCATTAATAATAAAAGCTGACAGATACAGCAAAGGAGTGCATCAGCACAATTTATTTTAAAGTGATATTTTGACAATGTAGGTTGCATCTTTCACGACATGCGTTTTAGTTTAACACTGTGCTGGCAGTATCAGACCATCTCTTAATACACAGCCGAGTACTGAATATCAGCTAGGAGGTGTATAAAAGCAGTTCTGCATGTTGGTGCTTTAAAACAGTGCTCCAATGTGTATTTTCATACATTATCCCAAATGAAGTACCTACAGTCTCCTAGTAAAGCCTCCTAGCTGCAAGTAACAACTAATTTATTAGTTACTATATAATTGCTTTCATTAATTGAATCTAGAAAAAAAAAGTGACAGTGACTAATATTCCAGTTTACATGCCGGTAATGACGTACCGTATCCTACAGAGGAATTTCCCTCCTTTTCAAACTGCAGTCATGTTGCTCTCGTAGTAAAATGGTACAACAGCTGGAGCTGCTTGGGTCATTTTGCCTCTTTTCATGTTTTCCAAATGTTCAACCATGCGAACACAACTTCTCTCTTTCATTCACCTTCTTGAAAAGGTTGGGGTGCGACATTTGCACGTATCCAATGTTTAAAAGCGGGTGTGTTTCTCCTTTGGACCAAAAATTAGGGATTTTATTTTGTGCGTCAGTGGTAAAAGGTGTTTTCACTTGGTTGATTAGACCTCTGGTTCAGCAGAGCGTATTCATTTTATTATGTACACCTGTTCTTGTCCTACTGAGACATGTCAAAATGTCCCCTGTGAAAAAAGGCTCTAAAAGGGTTAAGGTGTTTGTTCTCCTTCCTTTACATTTTCAAAAAAAAACATGCAGGATATTTCAATCAAACACAGGCTGTCCGAACCCACACAGTCCACAGAAGAGGTCCAATCCGGCAAACCAAGTTAAAACACCTGTGTAGGTGGACTAGTGCTGGGATAAAGAGCTTCATCTTGATCTCTCTATTCCCAGCCAGCTCCCCTCCAGCAGCTTCGCCTCCATCTTCATCTGCTCTGCATATTAGACCTGTACAGTGCAAACAAACCATAACAAAAGGAATACAGGCTTTTGGCTGTTCTGACCTGCCTGGCTCAATGCCTGTGTCCACTGCTACGATCCAACCCGGCCAAAGGCACTAGCCATTGATTCTAGATAAAAAAAGCCTCCTTTGTGTAGGTTATATTAAAGTTTTATGGAACATTTAGTGTCACTAATTAGCTGTACAGAATTTATGTTTAAACAACAAAAAACGCACCATATTGTTGTTCTACAGCTAATAGAGACACACAAATAATGACCAGACCAGAAGAACCATAGTGTATATGCATCATCTTTGTCAGCCTGTTCTTATCTCCAGTCCACTAATAAATGCATTAAAACTAGGAGAGATGAGTTCTTTCATAAAAAGATGCCCAAAAATCTGAATTATATCAAAGCTGTGATTATCCGTATAATGCCAAACATATGGTATAAGAAACAAAAAGCAATGTTTTAAATTCTATAAAAGCTAAAAGGTGTCTGGTCTCCGTTTGCTTTACTTTTAGTCAGACCCAAGAATCATAAATCTTCATGTAAAATGCTCTCCCGCTTACAGTCAATATGAGGCTGGCGAGGCGAGGCTAGGTGACCCTGGACAGCTCCCTAGAGGAGGTGGCTGCAAAGCCCCCCTCTGCAAGAACTAATAAAAAATCCTCCCTGCCACCATTTTGCTTTATGGCCATAGGAGGAGGGATGAAGCGGGCCATCTGCTTGTGTGACAGCTGCAGGGCACAGACACAAATCAGCTACATTCATATTATTCCCTTTTATTTTATTCAGAATGTGTCCGTGTATATTTAGACACAAGCTGGTGTGCATGAATGATTGAGTAAATGCTTATAGTAAATGCTTACATGTACAGTACGAGCACTTACAATGCAGCATGTGCATCTGTGTATGAGGAAGTGGAAGTGACTGTACTGAAGTGTCTGAGTGGCATTGTTCACATTGTACTGTACTTCTCTACAGAACCCAATGCAGAGGCACATTAGGTTCAAGTGAGTTCGCAGCCAATGGCTCTCTTCCTATTTACCTGCCCTGTCCCAGCCTCCTCACCCTGGGATCCGCAGTCCCACAACATCCATTATTTAAGACCAGCTTCACAAAGAGCCAAAGTGTTCCTCATAGCAAACAACCACACCTTAAGTGTGTCCCTGAGCTGCACACGGTGGTTTCATAGTGCTGACTACGACTGATCTGAGAACAGCGTAAGGGTTTGGAAAATAAAGTCATAATCCATTTAGGGGAATGTTTTACTGACTAGTTCATCAAACTGCCAGGGGCCTATTGACATTCCCCACAGATAATCATTTTTAAAACTCTATTGTATTATTGGAGTGGTACTTTTTCCCCTTATTCTCAAGAATGGGTTGCTATCTTGTAGGAGAATATACATATATACAGTAGCACAGGGTGAAACTGAATGAAATCAGTACAAATTATTTTACTTTACAGGCTCTTTTTTTTCAGTTGAAAGATGACTTTGCTTCTTTCCACACACCAATCGAAACCACTCCCTCACAGTTCTGTCTGCGTCTGAAATCACTCCCTACTTAATATATAAAAACACTCTATTTACTGTGTGCCGTTTTATTTGAAGATCTGAAATGGATCAAATTCTGATAATACATTTTTATCATTTCACTGGGGTTATGACGCTCCAAAAAAAATTCTATTCACAGTTTTACAGCTGCTGCTTTCACAATGTGAGCTTATGATGGGTTTTTTGAGCCAGTGTGCATCATGTGACACCATTGCTGTAGTTACACGGTTTGGCCACAATGTCAAATTGGCTTCAAAGCCTGTTCTTCTTTGGGGGGGCTTGGTACACTACTTAATGCTAACAATCCCACAATGTAAAATTCCCACTGAGCAATTCAACATCTGTCAGTGATGACACAAAATGATGATGATCGTATCACCATCGTAGTATCCTTAACAACACATTATGTGATGCATTTTAACTTCACTAATGACACCTGCATTTCATGTCCACATGTTAATAATCAACCTGAACCCAATATGTAATACATTTTCCTACATTTTTAAATAAATTATTATTTTAATACTTCAACAATGCTATATTTAATTTTGTCCTCAATTGAAAAAGTTGCTTTAAACTATAGATCGGGGCCTAAAATGTGCCATGGGCCCAGTTCCCTATGGGATCCCGTGATAAGAGACGTTAATGAATATTTTTTTAAGGACAAAGCTATCTTTTTCTTGTGCCGTGTGACTGAATAAGGGTGTGAACTGCACCATATATATACACCGTGTTAATCAGTGCATTTGTTTGGATCTTATTATACCGGCCAACTACCCAATTTAAGTTGTAACAGGTTCCAACTAATAGGATATATCAGCAGAAAGGCTTAGTGGGTCCCAGTGGTGGAAATAGTGGACATGGTGCAGGCTTTCATCAACAATCAATACCACCTCGCCCTGCCTGAGCCATTTGTAATACCACATTACACTACAATGCCCTTTCCACCTGTTTGGACAGTGTGAAATACTTTAATGGTGACATATTTGACTAATTACCCCACCATATATGGCCAAATTCTGTTCTTTAGAAATATCAGTCAACATAATTTCTTCATCGGATATCAAAATCTCTTCTTCAAAAGAAATCATAAAGCTGAGAGCACATTAGAGTCTCTCAAGGCGACGGCGTTGTCTGATCAGCCTCAGCTGAGTGCCAGCACTTTGTTTGGAGACTTGGCCGGGCGGATTGGCATATTCAGATTGATTTTGTTGTAGCACTGAGGTACAGTAATGTGCTTGTATCCCGTCCTGCTCTCCCTCCTCCACCACTCTCCTGGCAGTGGCTGGAGCCAAATGATGGACTGCACAGAGACACAGTGTTTCTCAGGGGCATCCCTGAATTGCTCCTCCACCATGAATCCATAAAAGTGAGATTAAGAGCTGCTCTGTAAAAGCTTATATTACATTACAGCACAGCAAAATATGTTTGAAAATTACATTTCCTGTAACTGTTATTTCTTAATCGGGTGTTCCGACAAATTTGACACTCGAAACCTGAAAATGATCTCTGATATTTGTGCAATTTAGGATATTTTAGATTTAACTGCGAGAACCCTGAAAGGCAGCAGAGGATCACTTTGCTGGGTGACAAAATTCAATCTGGATTTTTGATCTTATGAGTGTCTCTACTGTTTTCTAGGGCATCTCTCCCCATGTTTCCTAGAAATACCCATCCTTACATAATTCTTTTTAGTTATATGTGCTAAGACGCAGCCACTAGCATAAGCCTAATGTCCCAGTCTGCCTCTCTGTTAGAGATGTTCCGATATCATTTTATTTCCTTCCCAATACCCGAACTTTGAGTATAAGACGAAACCAAGGCTATCCAAATCCCAGAATTGAAAACCAAATATTACTTACACAACAAACAAATATCCAAATTGTCAACTATTCCAGTGCATCGCTCATTTAAATGTCATTGATAGTGTTTTTGAGAATCACAAAATATAATTTTCTTACACCCCTATTCCCCGTCATCCAACCTTTCCCGCTAGAGATGGGAATTGAGAACCGGTTCCAGATAGTCCGATCCATCAGAATTGTATTCTGCTAGTTCCACGAGTTTATCAATGCCAGCATGTTTTTCTGACCGTTGGTCATTGCAATGGTGTCGAACTCACATGTCTACGTAAACTTGCAACAAGAAGGCGTCGTGGTAGAGAGGAAGAAAGTCCTAAGCGAGGCCTCATTTCCTCAAAAAAAAATTATCAAATAAATCAAACTACAATTAAAGCCAAGTAAAGACTAAAGATTCGAAACGAGACATGTTGAAACTTGCAACTACTTACAATGTTCTGGTGCAAACCAACGCAACTAGATGAGACATTGTCTCCATAGCAACGAACCTATGTACTTTCGTTCCGTGGCGTTATTGATGAAACGACGATAACTCAATAAAACAAGAGAGTTAAGATTTTGGAGCCGTCCATGGTTAATTTTAAGGCTTATGTCCGACAAAATGACCAGGCGACCCTGTCTTTCCTCCGTCCCCGGATAATTCAACTGTTGCATTGACGATGAAAACCGGTGTAGACCAACTATGTTGCACACAGAAAATGATGTCAGGAATCAGCAAAGAATCAGACCTATAAGCAGAATCGATAATGGTATTGTATCAGTTCCTATCCCTACTCCCTGCAGTTACCTGGCTTACTCCGCCCATCTCCTCACCTGCAATCATTGCACAATCAGCCACTCGCTACACAATATACCAGATCCTTTGTTTCTTTGTCAGTTCATCCTGCTTTTATGTTCCTATAGTTGCCTAGTTGGTTGTTTGGTTGTCTGCGTGCTACCTGTTTTTTGCCTGCCTACCGTTCTGTAAGCTGCAACACAATTAAATCACTGAAGTCATCCTGCTGCCTGCTTTGTCTGCATTTGAGTCCGATCCAGCGTAAGCGGAGTTGTGACACCTGATCAGGGAGTTACCATGAGAGTACTGTTAAACAACGGTGTGCCAAATAGGTCAGGGTATTGTTTGACAATGTTTGCTACCGAACCAATATGACACTTGGTACCAAGGCTATAGATGACTGATGTTGACCAACAGTGTCACCCATTTCACATGTTGTCCACCGGAGGGCGCTGACAAGTGACTGTAAATGTTAGTATGCTCAGTGTGTATCGCGGTTACAATTAAAAATAAAACAAACAGATCTGTATCACGATGGTTTGTGTTATGTGTTTGTGTAAAAAAAAAAAAATCAATTACAATCTGCCAACATATGATCATTTTATCATTATCGGAATCATAAATCAATTTCAGTCAGGCTTTGGATCATATAAGTAAACAAGAATCTGATACTGAATCTGACACATATTGATCGTCAAGAAAAGTACTGAAGTTCGAAACTCTGATTTGGGGATTTTTATTATTAACTTAGGTTTTTTTTAAATCAAATGTTATCAATTCTGTTAACAAAACATAATTTTCATTATCAAATAATCTGTTCATCATTTTCTCAATTTAATAAGTAGTTTGGTCCAGAAAATGTAAGAAAATAGGGGAAAATTGCTGATCAACGTTTCCCAAATGTGTTATTTTTTTCCCCCACAAACTAAAGATATTAAATTTACTGTCAAACAGGAATAAAGAAACCAGAAAATATTCACACTTGAGAAGCTGAAATCAGATTATTTGGACTTTTCTTTTCTTCCTCAAAACGATTAATCGATTGTCAAAATAGTTGACGATTAATTTAATAGTTTGAGTAACTACTCGATAAATCGACTTAACATTGCAGCTCTCACCGACATGACCTTTTAATATCAGCTTCTAATCACAGTAAGTATACGGACAGCACAGACTGAGGAACGTTGTCGTATTTGATGATCTTTTTGTCGGCAGCAGGCAACACGATCTGTGCAGGAAGTACCAGGAACTGGCCTTACTGGAACACCGAGCTGTAAATTCCTGAAGAGCCGGCATGTTCATTACAAAGCCAATAGCATCCAGTCAACCAACAACCATGGATTTATGGTTCGGCCTCTGCCATGTTTAATATACATATACAGTGTGTGTGTTGGTGTGCTCAGCACCTTTCACCACCTGATACAGGTATTACAGCTGGAACTGAATTATATAACAGCTATTTGTCTGTCCCATGAGAAGAAGAAGAAAACAAAGTCTTTATTTGAGATGTCCATCCAGCTTTCCCAGATCATTGGGTGACAGTGAAAAGGCTATTCGGTTTTACTAACACAGAGAAAAGAGGAGCATACTCACAACTTGAGAAGCTGAACAATGTAATATTTGAGATTTTTGCTTTGAAAAAAAAACCTCAAACATTTGATAAATTATACAAATGGCAACAGATCCGTTTCCTGTTGATAGACTAAATCTATTAAAACTAATGGTTTCATCTCTAGAATAAAAAAAAAAAAAATAGCATTTCAAGAGCTAATTCCTTGCAGGAAGTAATGATATTCAGCTGCACAGTAGGTAGTACTGCACTTCTGGCATCACAACAGGTTTATTGACTCCATCATGCCTATAGGTTTGTTACTATGACTCAGCCTGTGCTGTGAATTTGAGTCATATAGATGTGTAATTAAAATAAAATAATACATGCGTTAACGGAGGAGTTTACCTCACTACAATTTCTGCTTATTACGGGGAGCATCTTCCCCACTCACGACTACAAAATCCACGTTCTCCTCCCTCCCTCCCCTCTTTGTTCTGCAGGAGAGCCAGCAGACCGCCTGTTGTTTATTTAGATAGTTTATGAATGAAAATAAAACTAGATGTGCTGATTGTTGTTGTCCCTGCAGCCCAGATGGACGGAATGGGAGCGGCTCGATGAAGACGTGATTACATGATGGCAGTGATACTAATGATGGAGGGATTCATAAAAAGAAAAAAGAAAAACAGGTCTTTGTGTGCGCCCTTCACGTCTGAACTGTCTCTATTATGGTTTTATTCGCTTTAAAATAGAGATACAAATCGATTAGGCCTCCAGAATACTATAATTATCATGTTACAGTGTTACACAATATCCAGCTGTCTGGCTGCTTGAGGTTGAACGCCGCTGGTATTTCGAGGACAACAACACAATTTGTTGACAACAACAGGCTGTCGCTTTGTCCACGGTGACAGCGGAAGACACCAAAATAACAAGCCCGCCCTGCGTGCGTGCTGCCCGGCATGCGACAGTGTTGTCATTGTCGCGTCTGGTCGGTGGATGAAGAGGGAGCGTCTTTAAAAAATAAAAAAATAAAAAAATAAAAAAATAAAAAACCTGTCCTACCTGTCAGTGTCAAACACCGCTACCGACAGCATTTAAAGGGGAGGGGGGGGGGAGCACTCACGCGTTGCCGATGTATATTCGGGGGAAGACCTCGTTGAAATGTTGTGTCGGTAAACTGTAGAAGCCGCTGCCGTTGGACAGGAGCTCGTTGAGTTGTTGGACGGTAACCTCGCAGCCTGGAGCCGGGACATCAGCCGGTGGCGGCGGCGGCGGCGGCGGCTGCTGCTGCTGCTGTTTTGTGGGACTCAGGTGTTTCTTCATGGCTCCTCTTCTCCCAAAACTAATGTTAGATTACCGCGAGCTGCAGACTCGTGAGCGTCGGCCGATTCATCAACTGCATTTTACCTTTGCACGTGAGTCGTGCGCGCGCTTGTCTTCTTGTCTACAAGGTGTCTGATGAGGCGGGAGCTCTACAGTTCCCCCCTCCACCCCAGATCCCAACCCCACCCCAACCCACCACCACCCATCAAAGTCAAGTGTGAGGGAGTTTTACAATGTAGTTCCGGTCCAAACTTTCAAAGTAAAACAGACAGTTTGATAGGTAGGTAGGTAGAGAGTTTGATAGGTAGTGTCCAATAATCCATAAATAAAATCAATCAATTAAAATAGGTTGACAGGTGACATTTCTTACTACACAAGGTTGTAGAATGAAATTTAGATATTGTTCTCTCTTTATGCTACTTTTAAAAAAACAAATAAAAATGGAGATGTCTGTCTGTCTGTCTGTCTGTCTGGTGAATTTATTTATAGAGAAAATTTAAAAACACAATTGTGAGTGGCAAACTATTCCACAGTTTTAATTAAATTAAGTGCCAACACCCTAATTCAGCACTAACATAATCCTAATTCTTTTGCTGTTTTCATCGATGTTTTAGCATTAAGCCAGTGTTGTTTGAGACCCAGTTGTTTAGGAGTACTTCAACAATGCTGTGCACAGCAGGGCTTTAGAAATACCGAGGTCCAAGACCTGAACTTGCTAGGGGGATACTGGGGGCATGCATCAAACAACATCTAACAAAGTCCGGACCTTGGTGACCTCCAGAGGTGGGTACAGCCACGCTCAGAGGTGGTGATACGCAATAAAAAGTAAGGATAGGAGAAGAGCTGCATCGGTTCTTCCTTCAGGCACTGGTTTAGTTTTTAAATGCTTTTACTTTTGGGTTTTAAAGTTAATTTGCTTATCTGATTTCAAACCATCATCTACATGAAAATTGTGTTATATTTGATAAAAATAGACCACAAAAGAAGCATTTAGGAGGAAAATGTAACAGGGCCCAATATGGAACCTTGCGGTATTCCGCAGTAGATATCCAAAGGAAGGACACATCCTTTCAAATTTAGGCTGTTGTGTCTTGGAGTACTCGAAAAATTTGACTGGCCCACACAACATCAGTGTTGGACCTGTTTTTGTGTCTGAATGGGAGCAAATACCTGCAGCCATGTTCCTAAAATCTGTTCTGAAACCTGAAGAGTGGAGGCTGTCAGAGCAGTAGATTAACAGTAATGTTTTTTGATGTAAACAGTCACATGGGTGTATTGAGTCCGCAGACTTTTGAAAGTAAGGGCCTCTGATCAGAGTGTTTAAAAGCTGTAACTTGTGATTCAACAGAACTTTCTCAACATCACAGTTTTAAGGGGAAAAATTAAAATGATCATTATTAGGCAACTTGCTGTGGGCAAATTATCCATTTACCTCAAATATTCCAATTTCAGCAGCCATTATTTTTTGCGTTCCACTAAACTAAAGTCAGTTCTTCTTTATTGCCCATTTGGGAAAAGAATTGACTGTAGCTAGAGTTACAGTGCTTTTATTTTAAAGTCAACTTCCGGTATCATTCTGTCTGTTTGTGGCCCACTTGACGCAGCTTCCTCTCGCCAGTCGCCACCACTATCTCCAGCAGACACACCCCATCGGCAGGCAGACACTCAGGAGACGGGAGCTGGACCGGAGGAGCCCGGTAGTGACACACGCCAACAGGAGAGGGTAGCGTGCTGCCTTCAAGTGCTGCTCGTAAGATCCTAAAAGTAGTCCCACCGCCTATTTTGGCTGGGTTGCGTAACATATCATAAGTACCCAGAAGTCCCTGCTTTCCAGATCTTTAATTTGTGAAGATAAAATTCATGGTTTCTCTATGCTGGAGCTACAACAAGTGGTCAGCTTTCCAAGCAGAAGTTACAGTTTAATCACCCAGATTGTGACCCTCATTGTCATGAAAAGTTCAGATTAATTTATTTATGAACTAATTTATTTATTTAGGCTATCTATTGGTCAGCTGGCATGAAGACATCAAGAGGAAATGAACTAAAATAGGGTGTTATTGATGAGATATCTGAGATACAGGTGCTTGTACATGGCACATAGAGGCATGCTATAGTAAGTGTGTTGATATACATGGATGTGTGAGGAGGAAAGTGACAGAGAGCTGTGCTGTGCAAAAACATCAGAGAAAAAATAAGCAGCAGCACTAACAACTAGGCTACCTTATAATAATAATAATAATAATAATAATAATAATGCTCAGATAAAAGAATAGCAGATATTTCTTATTGTTTGTTCTACTGCTCATTTCTTGCCATTTCCAAGCCTCTTAATAAACAAATCTGACCTATCCTCATAGATGTATTGACCCTGCCCACCTCTAGATGTCAGCACAAGCCATTAGTAGGCACTTTATGGTGGTGATGTTATTGTACACTGACATGGAAATGCTATTTTTAGCCCTTGTTAATGTATGTGTCACATTAATGCAAATCTGAAAACAGCTGAAATGTGTGCGATCAAAACGTGGCTTTCAGATCAGACTGAGATCTGATAGAAATAATATCAATATATGGTTTCACAACTCATGGTTTATTTTTCATCATAGTTATGAGCTACAAATTCTATGCTGCAGTGAGTTACTGAGAGCTACAACAGTGTGATGGTGCTCAACCGACCAGCATAGCACTCACTGTAATACTTACAGCCACAAGGTGGAGCCACATTTCTAACAAATCAACACACCGGTACCTCAATTAACCACATGTAAGTGTAATTTTAGGAGGCACAGTGAGGGTTTAATTAAGCAAACAAAATTATAACAATGCACACAGTGAAAAATTAGTAATAAATGATCCTACTGAGTTTATATTTAACTACTCATACAACAGAGTGCAGCACTCCACTGTAACCTCCCGTTTGAGAGGTTTATAAAGTAGGTTAATGAGTCATAACAATTCAGGTGCATTCAGTCATGTTCAGCAAGTGGCCTGCAAAAGATTGATCTCATCCCGTAAAAATGATGAGAATGACTGTTTGCTGACCGCTGCTGATAAAAGGGGTTTTCATTGTCTTCACTCTCACTATTATTCTCCAGTTAGTTTTGTGGGTCAACTGTTGTCAAGCCTTCATTTACACAACTGCATTTCAAGTGTCTGGGTTATCAACTAGACAAATAGATATACTTGTTATGGAATAAATGCAGTCGGATCGTGGGTTAACCCCATGTTTCTAAATAATCTGAGGGAGTTTTTCATTCTCTCCCCACAGATCCTGGACTGGGTCGGTTGAGCAGTTGTTGCCCAGTAAAGCCCACTGAGATATTTTGTGATACCGGGCTGATACAAATAGATTTGGTTTGACTTGACTTGACTCGGATGCTCTTGACCCACTTCACTTAAAGCCCCATGCCAGTCATCATTTTTGTGTTTCCATGGCAATGTAAGGAGATGCAGTGCAATACCATGGCAACAACAGATCTTGTGGAACAAAATTTGAGCTCCCTGTTGTGCACACACCTGTGTGTATGTGTCCATTGTAATACAGGCCTGCACTTAACATTTCTGATAGGTGAATGAATGGAACTTGACACTGATTCAGTTTTGCACAAAAGATGATTTTATCTCAAGGTACATGTACAGAAAACAGAAAACAGTAGCTGATGTTGATTATTCCATTTATTTATATTTCAATACATCAGCTGACCCATTGCTGAACCCCTCCCTCCTGCACAGCAACATACAGATGTTGTATACATGGGGTTGTAGTGTTGGTGTAAAGTTTGGAGTTTGGGGTCTTTTTTTTTCTTTTAGTGATTCCAAACCTAAAAGCAAAAGAGAAAAAGTATAAGAAATTGATTTCAGTGTGTAATTATCTGCTCTAACGTAAGCTGCAGTTGTTTGCATGCCTGGGTAACTAGCTTGCTTCATACTTAAACCCAGCGTTACTTGCAAGGCCAATTTACGTAGTTCCCTGGTTTCCAAATCTCGCCCACGGTTTTGGGCACTCTGGGCTGGTAGCCAGCAGCAGTACGATTAAAATACTTATTATATTACTTCCCCAACATCATGTGTGAACAATATACAAATGATACCACACATGGTATAATATAGTGCCAATTTCTTTTTTGTTGCGGTTTTAGATTTTTGCACACTATTTCAATATATTGCAGTGAGTAAAATAAATTAGACAGATAAACAGACTGTAAAACAGTACAATGGCACAATGCCAAGTTTACACTCCAGCCAGCTCATTTATTAATCCTCACCCGTTTGAGAATTTAAAGAGATGCTCATCAGATGCCAAACTGGATTATGTTAACATAAGGACAGTCTGATCTTACAGTTTTCCTGCAATAACAATGCAGTCTTTTCCCTGAGATGTGGAGCTTTAGCTTCAGTCATCAGTCACAATATAATTTATGTAGCCTTTAAGCGCACATTTAAGGCAATTTTTATGAGATTCTCAATTTAAGTTAGCTGGAAACATTAAAAAGTCAGCAGAAGATCCCAACTCATGAACTCAACTTCATTAGCTCGCTCGCTATAGCTGATCAATCTGAAATCAATCAAACCATTGTTTCAAAAGTTACTAAGAATTTAGTATGTAAATTATCCACCAATGGCGCTGTAAGCTTCATATGAGCGAAGCAATAATAGAAAGGCTTGCAACTAAGTATTGAAGGATATTTTACTGTCATTCACAAGAAGGTTGTAGAATAAAAGTTTGATCTAGTTCCCTTTATGCTACATCAGAAATGAAACATGTCAAGTTAATTCTAATTCTATGTGGTATAGCCAGCACTTTTAGCATATTGTAATTAGTAAATAGTTGCACCAGTCATTAAATGCAGTCGTTTTAATTATTTTCCATTCTATTTTCTTTTTTGTAGCTGTGATGTTTTGCATTACAATCCACCCAATGAGCTCTTTTTGTTATTCCCCATTCAAAAAACAAGAATGGAAAGCAGCAGGCATTGCAGCAATAATGTAACATAAAAATGCAGAATAGATAAATTATGGAGGGGTTCGGCAATACAGGCCACCAATCGCCCCATCTGGCTGAGTGAAGTCAAGACTTAATATTGATTTAGTACCATTTTTATTGACAGTTTCCCGTCCTCATTTTGCATCATGATGCTGCACGGCCAGTTAATTGGACGACCACC